ATAATAGCATTTTTCAATCATCTTCTCCTTGCAAAAACCACAACCTACTTGCTGTCTATCTTAAGGGGAATTTCCTGAAATTGATCACTATCATCATCATCATGTGCCATCAAGTCAATTGTGATTAATGGGGGAGTCCTTCTGAAGGGGTTGTGCTTGTCAAGTGTCAGTTTAGAACAATGCATCCCAACCTTGGGTCCCCAGAGGTTTCTGGACTACAAATCCAAGAAATCCCGGCCAGCACAGGGAGTGGTGAAGGCTTCTGGCAGTTTCAGTCCAGGAAGATCTGGGGACCCCTGGTTCAGAACCACTGGTGTAGAAAGAGAGGGAATGCTGGTCCAGAAAAGGAGCTTCCCTCCTTGAAACAGTAAGTGAGCCCTTCCAAACACTTTAATCTCAGGAACAGAAAGCCACCCATCGAGAGAATAGGCAGGAGGGCAAATCCTGAGGGTGATCCTCCAATCTTTGTCCTTATATTGTGTCTGCAATGACTTTCTCTGAGCCTTTTAGGAGGGAAAGACTTTGAAATAGACAGGAGCACTCTCTTGACATTTGGTTCCTGACACTTGTTGTTGCTTCTTTATTGTGTCTGATCTAAAATCTCAGATCTTTGTGCAGATCACTGTGTGCTGATTGAGAAAGCAGCTGCACAAACTCACAAAATGGCACCAAGGCAGGGATTGTCACTCTCCAATTGGCCTTATCAGGCACACTAGATGCTTTTCCAAGTCCTCTAAATAGAGCATGTTACCATAGTCTCTCGAGATTGCAGGGTGCCTACAGGTCTTTTTGTTAAAACTTGTATCTGTTATATAATACCAGTCAATGTTTTTATACAGTACTTTTGACTGTGCCTGGAGTTTTTGAATCATTATCATAATCATCAGCATTCCCTCCATGCGCACAGGCCTTGTTGAGGTGGAGGGACTTGCATGCTTCACTGACATTGAGAGCTATGCTGAAGGGTCTCCCAAGCCAGACAGGTTTCAGATGAGAAGCCAGACCAACTGTGTCTACCAAGCATGAATTATGATGAAAAGAAATAAACATAAATCCATAATGGATCAGTCATCACCCAGGTCAACAGGGACCGTGTCTGATGCTATAGCCCCTGGTAACAATGTTGAGAATTTGTTAACATTTCTGGATGTAAGCAGAGTTAGGAAGTATCAGGTTGCAAAGACACTAAAACACTGGGACAGTAAAATCCAAATTACAGTGGTGCCCCACATGACGACAATAATCATCATCAAGTGAAAAACAATTCCCCATTGGAATGAATTGAAACCCATTTAATGCGTTCCAATGGGGAAATTACCTTGTCATCCAGTGAAGATTGCCCATAGGGAAGCCATTTTCTGAGCGCCAATCAGCTATTAAAATGGCTGTCCTGCGAAGCATGGGTCCAGAAAACACAGGTCAGCCATTTTAGGAACCCGACGATAAGCTGGAAAAAATTGTTGTCTTGTGAACAAACGGTTCGCGAAGCATGGACATAATCGTTGTCAAATGAAAATCCCCCATAAGAAACACCGTCCTGCGGATTTGTTGTTTAGTGGGGTCGTCATCATGCAGGGCACCACTGTAGTCTATTTACAAACGTAAAGAGAGCATAGATTTCAGACATTCAACTTGCAGCATGACATTGACATGATACAATACATAATATAGAAATAAATGATCTGATTTACAGTAGATAACATGTTTATTTTATTTTATTTTATTTATATCCCACCTATCTGGTCAGGCGAGGACCACTCTAGGTGGCTACATGTCCCTTTTACCATGTATTTTATACATCTAATGACCAATCACAATGTACATTATATCATTGGACATTACATAGGATTACATAATCTTCTCCAGCTGCATAATATTAAGTCTTTTACCTGGGTACACACCTGAATCCACTTTGTACATGACTCAGGTTATATCAGCCATTTCACTTTTTACTATACAACATTATATTTAATACATTTTTAGATAAAAAATCCCATCAGACAAATGAGCTACAGGGCTCAGCAGACCCTGTTGAGGGATGAGGACAGGCTGCTGCAAAGCTACTGGAACAATGTAAATGCAAAACTTGGACTCTCACCAAAAACTGAGAAATTATGAAATGTTATTATGAGGCAAACCCAACAGCCTGTGGTTTTCAAAAAAGAATGATGGAAATTTGGAAAAGGCAACACCCAAGTAATAACATAACTGAACAAGGATTAATGGACCAGGAAAGGTTTATCATCCAGAGTAATGTGTTTTCAGAACTAGAATAGCAAGAACTACAAAAGGTGGCAAAATCAACAAAGGACAATGAGCATGATAAGGAAGGGTAGAGGTAAGCACAACAGTGGAAGAAAAGAACAATGAGCATGATAAGAAAGGGCAGAGGTAAGCACAATAGTGGAAGAAAACATATCAATAGAGGAACAGCTTATGGAACAACCCAGAAGTTGACACAATGGCAAACATCACTGAGGGGAAAAAGAGTAATCCATATTAGCCAGAAGACAGATAGGCAAAGGCTTCCCAATTAGCGCTAATTAGAAAGTAAACCAGTAAAAGATCTACTCAATCCTGCAAATGAGCTGCAGGGGTTAGCATACCCCTGCAGGGGGGTAAGTCTAATCAAGATGGCGACCCAATAGCAGGAGACTGTTTTTCCTCCTACTGGTTCGGCTTTTTTCTCTTTCTTTCTGGTCTCTTTCTTTTTCTATGTTTCTTGACTACCTCCTTTGATGCAGCTGCTTTTTATTTTTTTTCTCTGCTGCAACAGCAACAAACATTACAATTGTTGCTGCTTCCACTATCACCGGGAGTAAGAAGAACAACAAGAATTCCGCTGCAGCTGCTGCCATTGGGGAAACCGGCAGGCAGATTGGAATACAGTCAGTTGCTTCGAAAAAGAGAAGGATGGTGTGAATTATTTTGGTGTTCTCAGCAAAATAATTGAAGGAAATAAATTTCTGTAATTATACACTGTTGCGTCCTCCCTCGTGCCCCTTGCTTGACTGTCAAGCCTCAGAGCACACGAAGGCAAACACTCCCCTCTTTTACACTGCTGCCACCAGGTGATCATTAAATCATCATTGCTTCAGGAAGAATCAGGTCCATACTTCAAGGTCTTTTAAGCAGAACTTGTTTATTGATTACAGAAACTTAAACTGATTCATGGATGTCTTCTTTAAATCAATTTATTATTGACAACAACTTTCGATTAGATAATACACTCCTAAGTCTAATCACACCTCAGAATTCCCCAAACTCCACACTCTATCTCCTTCTCCCTTCTCTCACTCTCATTGACTATGTTACTCTTACTGACTGTTGCTGACTGACTGACTCTCTGACTCCTCCTCTTATAGCATCTCTCTCAGCTCTGCCTCCCAGCAACAAGAATATGCATGAACCATTACATAACAAAACATGAACCATTGACCTAATAAATGGGGAATGCTACATACACATTGCTGTGGGAGACTGCTGGTGCGAGTCGGAAGATCGGGGCTAAGGCAGCCGAATTGGTCGTAGTGAGGTGGAGCTTGGCATTGAGGGAGCCTCTTTTCATGTAGCGGGTTTGGGAGAGCTGAAGAGACCTCTTAGTCCTGGTGGAAAGGTAGTGCCTCAAAACTCTGGTGGGTACGTGTATCCCTGGTATGGGTATGGAGCGTAGAAAGAGTGGCCAAATTGCAGTTGGTACGGAGAGGTATGTCTACGCTTTTTCGTCTTTTTAAAAGGAGTGTCATGGACAGACTCCTCTTCCAATGGAGACTTGGTATCAGCCCAACCTGAATATTGAGGACTAGATGAAGCAATGGCCCAGCTGGCATCTGCCGCAGCCTCAAATTGGCCTGAGTTCAGAGACATGCACCTAATGTCCTGAGCCGTCTAGGCTGGAGGAATGTGCTGGCCCGAGTTCAGAGACATGCACCTAATATCCTGAGCCGTCTAGGCTGGAGGAATGTGCTCTTCAGTATCAGAAAGTTCGATTCCTTCACTCAAAGACTCCTCGAGTAATATTGAAGGAGCAGCATTCCTTCACTCAAAGACTCCTCAAGTAATATTGAAGGAGCAGGAGGAGGCAAAGTGGGAAGCTTGGGTGGCTTCTTCAGCTTTTTAGGTTTGTCGCTGGTTTTCTTTTTTTGCAGGAATGGTGGGATGAGAAGGCGCCTGGGCTTTAGGCGGTTTTGAGACTTCCTTGGACTTCACAGGCAAGGAGATGGTAAGAGCTGCCTGTTCAGCAGGGGAAGTTGTCTGTTTAGAGACCTCCAAATGTGGAAGGGTTGGTGCAGGGAGGGAAGAGCCCTCCACTGTGGGAAGAAGAGTTTTTTCGTAGAGGAAAGACTTGAGTTGTTGGCACCTGAACTTAATGATTTGTTTAGAAAAACCCTTGCAGGCAATGCAAGTCTGATCGAGGTGGGATTCACCCAAACAAAACAGACATTTATCCTGTCTGTCTGACAAAGGAATTTTGTGGGAACAGAGGCACACTGCTTGAAGCCCCGAGGGCCCATAAAACAAAAGAAGAATCCGTTGAAGTAGGGGGGGGAAGCCACAGAACAGAGGCAAATAAGCAGTAAAGGCAGGTTCTGTCGAATAACAATAAAAGAAAGTAAAAAGAAATATAAAAAGGCTAGCTAAGCTAGAATACTCAACAAGATATTTGCTCTGCTATTCCTAACGTCCTACTGGAATGGCAGAAAATGAGGAACTGAAAGGAAGGTTGAGGAGGTGGAGCCTATACCACACAGGTGGGGGGAAAATAATTTGTTTCTCTTTCAAAGCTCTAGAATCTTCCAGACCTCCTGCGCAGGCGCAGGATTAACCATTTGTGTGCATTCACAGAAACCACTATGAAGAACCAAAATTTCCACTCCTTCCAACAAAGCAGTATATCAGTAGTATATACAATAGCATAGAAACACCTAGTTCTTCATAAGTAATACAGTACATTCATTGGTATCATCTTTAAAATTCAATTACTATTATTATTCATATTCATTGGTATCCTCTTTAAAATTCAATTACTATTATTATTCATGAAGGTAACGACTTATAAAACAATTGACAGCTTCTCTCTCTTTACTACTGGCTTTTCTTTCATCAGTTAGCGTTATAACATTCATTCTTTTCTTTTTACACTAATTTTGTAAAAGCTTCCGTTTTATAATATATGCTTATTCTCATTTATTTAGCACAAGTTTCCACGTCTATTTTATTGTATCTCGCTGTTAATGATAGTAGTAAAATACATCACAAGTGGCATTTCAAAATGCACTCAATCTTTCTCTTTTCTCTGTTTTGCATTACATCAACATTTGGTTGCATAGTCTTTCCACTGGAAACCAACACAAAACTGAATGAGCTCCTTATGCCTTCTTAACTTAGCAGAAGCTCTGAATAACGCTCTTTACACATTCCATGCATTTTTATGGTTTGTCCCCAGTGTGAGTCCTTTGATGTTGCCTAAAGTTACCACTGTAAGTAAAGCTCTTTCCACATTCTATGCATTTATAAGGTTTCTCCCCACTGTGAGTTCTTTCATGTTTCTTAAGATCACCACTGTAACTAAAACTCTTTCCACATTCCATACATTTATGTGGTTTCTCTCCAGTGTGAATTCTTTCATGTAATCTAAGGACATCACTGCGACTAAAGCTCTTTCCACATTCCATGCACTTATGTGGTTTCTCCCCAGTGTGAGTTCTTTCATGTGACCTAAGATGAGAACTCTGACTAAAGCTCTTTCCACATTCCAAACATTTATGCGGTTTCTCCCCAGTGTGAATTCTTTCATGTGACCTACGTGCCGAATTGGAACTAAAGCTCTTTCCACACTCCATGCAGTTATATGGCTTCTCCCCAGTGTGAGTTCTTTCATGTGACCTAAGTTTATCACTGCAACTGAAGCTTCTTCCACATTCCATACATTTATGTGATTTCTCCCCAGTGTGAGTTCTTTGATGTAATCGAAGGACATCACTGCGACTAAAGCTCTTTCCACATTCCATGCATTTATGTAGTTTCTCCCCAGTGTGAGTTTTTTGATGTAAACTAAGGACACTACTCTGACTAAAGCTCTTTCCACATTCTATGCATTTATACGGTTTTTCCCCAGTGTGAGTTCTTTCATGGTTCCTAAGGCGACCACTGCAACTAAAGCTCTTTCCACAGTCCATGCATTTATGTAGTTTCTCCCCAGTGTGAGTTCTTTCATGGTTCCTAAGGCGACCACTGCAACTAAAGCTCTTTCCACAGTCCATGCATTTATGTAGTTTCTCCCCAGTGTGAGTTCTTTCATGGTTCCTAAGGCGACCACTGCAACTAAAGCTCTTTCCACAGTCCATGCATTTATGTAGTTTCTCCCCAGTGTGAGTTCTTTCATGGTTCCTAAGGCGACCACTGCAACTAAAGCTCTTTCCACAGTCCATGCATTTATGTAGTTTCTCCCCAGTGTGAGTTCTTTCATGTAACCTAAGGCTACCATTCTGCGTGAAGCTCTTTCCACATTCTATGCATTGATATGGCTTCTCCCCTGCATGTGTTCTTTGATGTCCACTGACGTGACATGCTCTTCTCGCCTCCGTAACTTCTTTCACGTGCAGTCCCTGCCTGCCCACTTTGATTTTCTTGCTTACTCTTACTCTGTTTTCTTGCTTGGTTATGAGTTCCTGCCCAGGTTGTCCCAGATCTTCCTGGGCAATTCTTCTTCTCTTCTTCATCATCTGGTAAATTAGAAAAAGAAGAGAAAGAACCACTTCCAAATCTGCAGGAATAAAGAATGATGTGTTCGTTCTCTAACTAACTTATGGAGGAGGAAGGAAAGACAGCCAAAAAAGTTGAGGGAAGAGAATCAGCAGGAATTTCTGAAAACAGGATAGGAAACAGATATGGTCAGGGAAATAGGTACTGAGGTACTAGAATCTTGGAACTACAGAGCTAGAAGGGAAGTGAACTCCCTAAAAGCAAAAATGTATACATTGAAATTAAGAAGGTATTTTACCCCAGTGAAATTAAATACTACAAATTCTAAAGGCTGCGTATTAGAGTAGTATCTCAGTTTACAAAATCAGTGTGCCCTCCAGGATGTTACATCATGCACAAAATACATAAATTGGAATGCAGATTGCTATAGCAATGGTGGCAAGAGGGTTGAGCTTCACTTGAATGAATACACTTTAAGGGGGACAAGGTGAAACCTTATTTTAACAAGCGATATTATGCTTTATTCTCATTCATTGTTAATACTCGATGTATATTTTCTATGATAGATTTTTTCTAAGCAGTGTACGGCCTATGTAATCTGTAATCAAAATACCTTGTAATCTTTGTAACTGAATCAGTATGTTTCTAACATTTATCAGATAAGTGTAAGATTTTTCTAATAAGCTCTTTAACAAGTGCGTGTAACTTTCCATGCTATAAGATTGCACTTCCTGCTGTAAGGCTCTTGCAGTCTCAGAAGGTATTCCTACATTCCTGCATACCACAGTCACCTTGATTCTCACCAGACTAGCAGTAAGAGAAATCAATACCTCAGTGAGATAAAACAACAATACAAAATTCTGCCCTTCAAAAGATGGGCAATTTTGGAGACAAATGGCCCACTATAGCCCTCTCTAGTCCCCTTTGGTATGTATAGGGAGGAAACCGCTATAGATATTTTGACACCACTAAGGAAAATTATAACTATTGAAGGCCATATACCGGGGCCCAGGAAAGAGTAACATCAATATCTTGATGAGATAAGAAGAACAGAGAAAATATCTCTTCAGACATTCAGGCAACATCCATATACACCTTGGGTATATTCTAAACTTAGGTTAAGGGAACATGGGGGCACACTACAAACATCCACGTATAATCAATGGTTGGAGTTAATTGGCATCTTTGGTCCAATTAGAAGCAGGATCCAAACTTGAGGTTCAGGGAACCAATGAGGAATGTGTTGCTTTATGGCTCTTTGTGTAGAAATGTTATAAAATATCTATCCTCTGCTTTTAAGAGGAAGGGTCCAGCTGTACTTTTCAATAAATATTGGCTTTTCTACTAGTTGTTGATGCGTCTTAACCTGCCTGTCTTCACCAGAGATTCTGAACTTTAATTTCAGAGGTAACAACACAACTGAACTGTGGGTGCATAACATTAAAAAGGTGGCAGAGCAGCTTTCAAACAGAACCCTGGGGGAAAGCCAACAGGATCCGAGTGGCGTTCATTTCGGGACTCTTCATCCTGGTGGAATGAAGGTGGAGAGAGTAGAGAACAACAAAGTGATGATAGTGTAGGAATTAGGACTGAGAGCATGATGGAATGTTGATCCACTGGAAGAAGAAGCAAGCAAGCAGCCCTTCTTGGGGGAGCCCATATGCAGGGGCTTTTAGGCAAATGCCCGAAGTGTCTGAGCAAAGATGGGACAGCTGGAACATTTGGTGGCTAGGGATAACACAGATATAGTGGCTGTGATGGTAGCGATGATGTCATCTGCCTGTCATTGCTGTGGCTGGAGTTCATCTGCCTATAGCACGACGGGAGGTGGGACTTCAGAGGGTGGAGCCATGGTATTTAAGGGGGGAGTGAATGAGGTGTGAGTCAGATAGGGTCTAAGATAGGATCTAAGATAGGGACAAGATATGAACTAGATAGGGTTTGGATAGGCACCTGATAGGGACTTAGGGTGTTAGGGCTTGTACATGTTATGAAGTACTGTGTTATATATATATAAAAAGCGAAGGTCTGAGAGAGTGTATGAGGGGATACTTTATTATTTCAGATTGCCTTTTATTTTAATTGATAAAGTAATTTACCATTCCTTTTGTTCTCACAAATGAACATACATTTTTATTTTAAAAATCATATTTTTGTCTGAAGAGATTTATGAGGGAATGGTTGGTGGCAGCGTGAATAGTGTGTGTGAGAGAGTGACATGGCAGCTCCTGTGTGACGTGTGAGGAGGCTGTCACAGTGGCCAAAACGAAAACCTGCTGGGATTCGGAGAACCAGAGGGATGCTGCAATCCCAGACTATAAACTCTACAGGAGGGAAAGGGAGGGGCGTGTTGGAGGTGGGGTGGCCCTCTAGGTCAAAGAAGGGGTGGAATCCATCAGAATGGAGATGGACAGCAGGTCTGACACCATCATAGAATCACTGTGGGTTAAATTGCCAAGACGAGGAGCAATGTGATAGTGGGGGGGGGCGTGCTATCATCCTCCAGATCAAAAACTTGAGGGGAAAAAACATGCAATGTGGAAAGAAATCAGGGAGGTGTCCAAAAGGGACAGGATTGTAATCAAGGGGAACTCCAATTATCCTCACATCGACTGGGTCATTGTATCCTTGGTTCAAGAAAGAGAGAACGGGTTTCTTGACATGCTAAAGGACTCTGCCTTGGAGCAAATTCTCATGGAGCCCAACAGAGGACAGGTGACTCAATCTATTACTGTGCGGTACTCAGGACACAAATGTCGCTGAGTCGCTAGGGAATAGTGACCATGCGGCCATCTCTTTCACCCTGCATGTTGGGGGGGGCAGAGTGTCAAGCAAATCTGACACAAAAACCCTTGATTTCCAAAGAGTGGACTTCCCTCAGACAAGGAACAAAGTAAATAAATAAATCTCTCCAGAGTGCATGGAGTCTGTTAACGCAACGGTGGTAGAGGCCCAGCGGAAGTGTATACTGCAAAAAAGGGGGCTCAACTAAGTCCAAGAAAGTGCTGGAATGGTTAATGAGCAAAGTTACCAAGGCGTTAACGGGAAAGAATGGGTCCTTCCATAAATGAAATTTCTTCCCAAATGAATAAATTAAACAAGGACAGAAACTCTGGCAAAAAAAATGTAAGGAGATGATACGAAAGGCTAAGAAAGACTTTGTGATACATATACCCAGCAGTACAAGGGGGAATAACAAAAGATTCTTTAAACAGTTTAGAAGCAGGAAACTTGCCACAGAAGCAGCGGACCCTCTGGATGGTGAGGGAGTGAAAGGGGAGGTAAATTGGGAATTGGGAGACTGCAGATTAATTAAATGAGTTTTTTGCATCAGTTTCCACCACAGACGACTTTGGCCAGATTCCGCTGCCCGAACGGCCCTCCTTGAATAATGAATTAAATCAGAGGCAAGTTATTCTGCTCAAGCCACAGATGTCACCTCCATTGGCCTGGAAATGGTCAACAGGGACTCCAATGAGAAGGAGCCTTTTTCCAGCAGTAGAGGTGGCAGAAAACCATAAAGATATTCCTACCTTGGCAGAATTTCTATATAACACTTCAGGAGCCATAGATCTCTTGGAAAATGTCAATATGGAGATAGAAGCAAAATTAAAGGCTGAAGTAGTTCTCTGAAGAACATGGTTTTGTAACAGAGGTTAGCCACTGATAGGATGTTCCTGCATCGTGGCGGCCTGTGTGCACATGTAAATCAGGCGTGTCGTATGTGCTTGGATGTCTCAAAAGGACCTGTCAGAGCAGGTTCTAAAATCTGCTACTAAGGGACCCTCAGATTTCCATCACAAAGTCCATCGAACCACTTGATGAAATTAGAGTATTTGATGGATAAATGGAACATCTCCACTGAGATTTAGGACAAATTAGTTACTTGTAACATGATGGATTGTCTTTTCTTTAGAAATCAATTTTTAAACAATTAGGACAAACTCCGTCAGCCTAAAGGTGCAGCAATCCCTCAAAACAAAGAACTTGGGTTTGATCCTGACTATAGGAATCTGAAAATACAAATCTGCCATTCATATAGGGAATACTGTATAGGAAAACTGACTGCCCAAGATTGGCACAAATATCTCTCCCTAAAAACTCAATTAAGGAATTCTGTAAAAGAAAAAAGGCAGAATTTTATTTTGGAGCAATCTCTAACAGGCAGTGACCCAAAAAACAATAAACAATTTGGGCCATCGCGAAGACTTTCACGGCCAGGATCTAACGGTTGTTGTGGGTTTTTCGGGCTTCTTGGCCGTGTTCTGAAAATGGTTCTTCCTAACGTTTCGCCAGTCTCTGTGGCCGGCATCTTCAGAGGACAGCAAACTGTGCTCTGGGAGGCTGAGAGTGGGTGGAGTATTTATGGTTGTGAGAAGGCTAGTTGGTGAGGTAGGCTATTGTCCTAATCAGGAGATGGTTGATTGTGTTTTGTTATGGCTGCATTGTTTTGATCAAGAGGGGGGATTATCTGTCCCTGTGGCTGATGGGTGTCGTTAGCTGGTTTTTTGTGTGCAGTAATCCCTTGACCTTATGGCTGGGTGGAGTTCATTGACCTTTTGCACTCTGTGTTTTTGAGAGCTGGGACAGAAGGGACCCCCTCACCACTGCAGGAGTATACCGGATACCTTGCAGTTGTGGCCAGGTATACATTGGAACCACAAAATGAAGCATCCACACCAGAGTCAAAGAACATGAGAAACACTGCAGACTAAAACAATCAGAAAAATCTGCAGTAGCTGAACATGCCATAAAACAAACTGGACATGAAATTCTATTTCAAAATACTGAAATACTGGACAACACCAGCAATCATTACGTCAGACTGCACAGGGAAGCCATTGAAATCCACAAGCATCAACAAAACTTCAACCGGAAGGAGGAATGTCTGAAACTCCATAAAACCTGGCTCCCAGCTCTCAAAAACACAGAGTGCAAAAGGTCAATGAACTCCACCCAGCCATAAGGTCAAGGGATTACTGCACACAAAAAACCAGCTAACGACACCCATCAGCCACAGGGACAGATAATCCCCCCTCTTGATCAAAACAATGCAGCCATAACAAAACACAATCAACCATCTCCTGATTAGGACAATAGCCTACCTCACCAACTAGCCTTCTCACAACCATAAATACTCCACCCACTCTCAGCCTCCCAGAGCACAGTTTGCTGTCCTCTGAAGATGCCGGCCACAGAGACTGGCGAAAGGTTAGGAAGAACCACTTTCAGAACATGGCCAAGAAGCCTGAAAAACCCACAACAACCAATTTGGGCCATCGTGGCAGGCTCCTTCAGGCTGGAAGTACAAGACCCTGCCATAATATCTCCACCAAGAAGGGTCCAATATTTTTCAGACCTTCTTTTTGACAAAGATAGAGCTGTTAGACCCTCTACGCTCTTTTGTTCTCTCTGATCTTCCTGTTTGGCCACCACTAACCATAGAAGAGACCAGAGATCTAATCACTCAATTAAAAGCTGGAAAAGCAGCCGGCCCCCGATACTATCCCACCGGACTTATTCAAATGTGAACCCAACTAGTAGGCTTCCCTTTAAAGAGCGGTAGTTTATACTGGGATCTAAGCATGAAAATTCTAAATTGTATGTGGCTTTCCTTGAATTAAAGGCAGCTTTTGATTCTGTAGACAGAGAGTTTCCCTGGGAAAAACTTGAAAACATGCGCATAGATAAAAGACTCCTTTTCCTCATAAGAATTTTATACTCTGGCACAACATGCCAAGTTCGTGCCCCTTGGTAAGGTGAGTTATCTAATCAATTTCCAACCAACAAGGGAGTGAAGCAAGGCTACATTCTTGTTCCCTCCTTATTCAACCTGTTTACGAATCACCTAACCCCCTTTCCAACCAGTGTGAAGAGTCATCCATCACAATTAGGGACGCATCATGTCCCGTTATTCCTTTATGCAGACAATGCATAATGATCCCCCAAAAAGCAAAGAGAATTCAGCTCAGTCTCACCCCTTCCTAGGAGAAATGAAAAATAGGAAAGATCAGCGTCGAGGCTTCATGGATAAAGCAAATCAAAAACATTTCCTTCCTCCATGTGCCTTCTCTGTTTTTTTGTTATATATATATATAAAAAAATATTATTTTGGAAAATAAAGTATCTGTCCTAAAAAAAATTCCCATCCATCCAGAACTACCCTCTCTTTTAGTGCCTCTGTCCATGAAATTTTAGCCAATAAATCCCTAAAACAAAAATTGGCTTTCTTGAAGTCTAGAATGTGTGTGTGATTACACTTGGCTTCCCCTTTGCACTGTGTAACGAATTCCAAGAGAGCGTTGTCACCCCCACATACGGCTCCCACCACTTCAAGATCCTCCCTGTTTTCGCCTTCCAGACTGGGTTCTGTATTATCGATCTTGTACACTGCTGGGCCAGAAACACTGAGAGGAGAGAGTGTGTGTGGCAAGGCTATTTAACCCACCTCTTGAAATCTTGCTTACCTTGCAAATGTTGAAGGGATCTTGGGATTTGGTTATTGGTTTTTGTTCCCAAAAAAACAAAGAGAATGCCGCTCAGTCTTGCCCCTTCCTAGGAGAAAAGAAAAATAGAAAAGATCAGCCTGGAGGCTTCCTGGATAAAGCAAATCAAAAACGTTTCCTTGCCGGATGTGCCTTCCTCATGTTTCTATTGAACGGGGTCACATCTCCATCTCTCTACTCTTCAGGCAGCTGAACAAGAGGAACAGAACGGGAGCAAAGAAAGAAACCACAGGAAGGGAGGGAGGGAGGGAAGGACGGATCATCTCACGTTGGGCTCCGAGGTAAAAGCTCCCCCCATCCCAGGGAGGAGGGGGCAACAGTGCGTGTGCAAAAGAGCAAGAGGTCCTGCAGAAGGTCCCCCTCGCAGGGAAGGTGCAGGGAGGACC